GGTGGCGTGCCATTTGGTTCACGTCTGCATCAACTCGGGAGGGGAAGACGTGGGCGCTGACGCTGCACGAATGAGTCCAACCCACTGTGCATTAACAAGGAATGGTAATCAGTCGCAAGGACTGCCACTTTGTCCTTCACCACTTGCGCCTGCTTAAGAGCGTGTCGTGAGTGCGAAAGCATCTGCTAACCGTCTGACTTGAGATGGGAAATGGTTGTTGTGCACCAGTGTGAAACGCGCCAACACATCATTGACTGTTCCCAAGCGGTCATCTCACTGTATCACTTGCCTAACGGAGGCACTACCTCATCCCTAGAAGAGCTCACGCCTCCCTCCGAGGTGGGAGTTTGGAAGTGGAAGTGAGATTGGGACAGAGGTGCCTGTAGCTACCTCGTTTGGCCCCTCGACACGAAATCTGTTTGCGGCAATCTCGTGTCTTGCTGAGAGGAGGAGGTGTGACTTGTCATTGAGATTGGTTGAAGGGGGGAGGTATTCTAAAGGCAGTTGCATTTCACCTAACATGGCTCGATATTCAACAATTCTGTAGGATCATCCACTTTGTCCGTAGATGCGTTGACTCATAATAGTGTGATTTTCTATTGCTTACATTAGGATGAGGAGTTGAAGGTGTGTATTGAGGAGAGTCAAAAGATGGAGCAGCACTACGGACACTTCTTCGAGTTCATTATTATTCCGCGCACTTCCAAGACAGCGCTGGCGGAATTGAAGCAGGTGGCTCTGGATTTGGAGCGTCGGCCGCAATGGGTGCCGGCCCAGTGGATCGACCTCGCCTGGCAAGTGGCGGTCCAGGCCAGCGTGAACGCCACAGCAGTAACTAACGAAACCGCCCTAATCATGTCGGGTTGATCGGTACTGCTGATTTTTTACCTTTGTTCGACCCGTCCTTTCCATTTTAATAATTAGAATTGTTACTGTCACATAGGGATTATATCTGCCTTATTTGGATCTTGCTTAGGATTTATGCCTGTTGTTGGTTGAAAATAAGACTTGTAATAGCAGCTTTAGGTACTGACAAATTGTTTGGTGAGCGAATGAAAATTGATACTGCCGCTTGAGAAGTTTCGAATGCCTTTCTGTAGCCACTTTGTGATATTTGCGTCTTTATTGTGCGTGGTGCCGTATCACTGAAATGGTAGCGGGAACTGTGGAGGTTGAGGGACTCACACAGTTGGGTATGCTGTTAAAGTCGGCGACCTTATTTCTTGAGCGTCAGTCAGTTCTGCGGAGCCAAGGTGAGTACCGATGAACTGGCGTTGATCACCGCGATTGAGTTGGTTTTGAAGTCGTCAGGAGTCGTGTGTCCAGATTTGGTTCCTTTTAGTCGCACAGAGAAGCTGAGAGGTTAGTAACAGAGGTGACGTAGAGGCAAGCGTTGAAATTGTAGGTAGACTTAATAGGACTGCATTCGGACACCTGTTCCATCAAGCAGTAGGTCCTCCTGGTTCATACCAGTCTGCAGTTTCATCGTCTTTTGACCATCTCGCTGACTTCTCAGGTAATGGGCGTTATTTATTAGAGGCGGAAACAAGTTATGGTTGGGTAATCTGGTGAAGATTTATGGAGGTACCCAACTCTCTCACTCGCGCACGACATGGGAGTGCCCAATGCAGTTACCTTCGTATCCTGGCGCTACTTTGTAGTTGCGGGCTCCACACCCGCGCAATGTAAGTGCTCTTCAAGTCAGGTTTTTGATATGACGTTATTGTCAAAAAAAAACAACTAAAAGGTGTAATCAGACGAAGTGATCTTGGCTCTTCACACAGTGACAAATTTGAGTGATGGGTCATTTCGTGTCAGGATATTCGTCAGGCGAAGATCGGTGGGTCAAATTGGGTCAAAGCATCATTTAGCAAGTGGTTACTTCGGAATACGATGAAAGGCACCCCGAGCATGGAGATACCCTAAGGTGACACCCTTATCACAATCGACATTACTCTCAGATTAGAGGTTGCAGGTGTCACTCGAGGCCCCGTAGCTGGGGCGGGCTTACAAATCCACTCCAATGTATGCATTTGTCCATATTGAAAACAGAACCTGACAACACTTCACCACTTACCATACATTTCGATCACCTTATTCCTCAATAGTTCAGTGTTCTAACAGGGTGGAGATTGAAAGCTTGAAGCAAACCGATGAAACTCTTCAGAATTTGAACGGTGAGGGTCCCACGATCCGTCTACATCAACTACTGGGGAAGGAAAAGTAGTGGATGCTGATGCTGGTTGAATGAGCCCCATCCACCGCAGCAAGTTGCGAGGACCATCACTTCGCACTACGCTGCTTGCACTTGTTGAAGAATGTGTTGTGGGTGAGGAGTTGTCCACTAACTGTCTGACTTGAGATGAGAAATAGTTATTGTGGTCTGCAAGGACCCAATATGGCATTAATTACCCCCAAACGGTCGTCTCACTAGGTCGCCTGTCTGAGGGGGACAATGCTTTATCCTTAGTCGACCTCACGCCTCACTCAAAGATGGGACTGCCTTGTTGGCTTCTGGGACTGTGAACTCTATTGGTGATTACCTCAACAAAGCAAGTATTTTAAAGGGCTCTCTTCGTCTTTACCAAACTTATCTGGTTGTCATATAATTGGAGAAGCATAACTTAAGGCTGAGTAAAGTTCTATGGCAGGCGAATTTCACCCTTCATCGTTCCATGAAACGCTTGACATGTTCAACAGCTCCCTAGGGACATCTACTTCAGCCACAGCCATTCGTTAACCTGTTATAGCAAAAAAAATCTCTCCATATCCTATGAACGAAGGTATGTTTAATCGCAGGTGAGAAATTACTACCACAGTGGTCAAGCTCGTGTGTCATGTGACGGTCCTTTTCAGTGTGCATAACCGTATCCAAGTCACGTGAAGAAGTGACTGCCACCGTTGTCAGTATCGAATGCACGCATCAAAGATTCTAAACTTTTCCTTACCTCTGACATAATGCGGGTGTACATGGTGACAAGTGGTAACGATAGTGGCGATATTGTAAAGAACCCTCCATATTTGCATCTCTCGAAACTGCAGGAAATGAGGTAGTGAAAACATAGAACCATGCCATAACTTCTAAAATCACTAAACTGAACCCCCCACTCTTTGCGAATCCTGGCAACGAACTTGGTGACATTAGTGTTCCTTTCATGTCAATTGTGTAGTACCGATAGAGAGAAGAACCTGCGTAGTAAACCAACCAGTTAAACGAGTTATTCTTTGATCTACCCACTTAGAAGAGCACAAAACCCTCACACCGAAGCACTGCCTCGTTGTTTTGAAGAAACGAGGTCGTTTACTGCAGCCTGCCACAAAGAAAGCTTGTGATCACTTTTAGCAGTAAACTGATCAAGTACGCACAAACGATCTCTTCGGTTTCTAACCGACTCAAGAGCTGGTCCTCACCTCCTTAGTCACTTTGAGTGGTCAAATTTTTTAGGGCATTTTGACGCTAAAAGAACTGCATTCTTTACAAGGGACCGGGGCGTCTTGGATGTATCCGATGCGTTCAAACCTGATTGATACTTGTCTGATCAGTGAGGCTGGAAAATTTTGTCTTTGATAAGTTGAACCCAATAATCAGGTGTCTAAAGAAGCTCATGAGATCTACGGCTAGCCTCCATCTAGGTAATATGCTCACATTTCCAAGTTACCATGACATTCCAAGAAGACAATGCAGGGTGAATTATGGACGACCATTCCCATTAGAGGTGGATTTGCTACGGCTAAGATCTGCTGACTATAACATGTGCCAGGGAAATCAACTTCAGAAGCAGTTAAGACAGGTCATTGAGGCGGAAGATAGCCGTATCCTTAGGTTAAAAAAAAAAGATTCATCCTTGTTTTACTTCTCCTATTGCTGTCTCTGAGTTGCGCGGAATGATAATGAACTCGAAGAAGTGTCCGTAGTGCTGCTCCAT